CCAGGGTTCACTGTGATAACTATTGTAAAATCTTAACGCTCAAACCTGACCACATGGTTCAAGTTCGGAAACTACTTTTTTGTCTTATAAGGACAAAAGTTTCGTTTCTTTGACTGCCTAGTGTAATCTATTGAAGACATTTACAGAATAATGAATGAAAAATTCAAAATGAAAAAAATTTTACTCTGACTGTGTCTGCCTTTAAAGGTTATAAATCTATATCTTAAAAATAGTTTAATAAAATGTATCAATAGTAAAATTATATTGGTTTCATTATTATATGGTTGATTCCCAAAATTGTTGTAACATAAAATGTCTCTGTTTTTTAACACACATTAACAATGTATATAAGCAGAATAAAATGTTTCGGAACAAAAAACTGTATTATTTTTGCTATTTAAAGGGTGGTGTTATTTGATTTTGTAAATGCCCACTCGCTATAAGGCAATTAATTACCATATTTATTTCATACAAGCATTTTGGCAGTATTCTTATTGAAAATCCGAACAATAACTTTTGTATTATACACTTTAAAGGTTTATACATTTAATGTGAAATATGATTATCTTATTTTATAAAGAGGGGAATTCCCTTTATTACCCGCACGCCCTATATACAAATACACCAGGATCTTGATTTTTAACTATTTGTCACTGTCAAACCCTCTTTTATATTTGATTCTAATTTGATTTGATAAAGCATTCACGTAAAGTTTATTATAGAGATAAAATCTTTATAATATTATTTTATTTTACCATGGCAAGAAGAAATTATAATGACATTTTAAAGTCGTTAAAGGATGAAATGAGTTTTCAGGGGTAAAATCTTGAAGGATGAGTTATTTCCATACCTGGCATTTGCATCAATAATAAAAAAATACTTGTAATAACTTTGTCTTACGTAAATCAAAACCTGTTTGGTGCGCGTAAAGCAATGGTGGGAAAGTAATTTGTAGATAATAAAATAGAGTTGCAACTAATGAAAGGAATATCAAAACTTAATACAAGTCACCGTAGAATAACGACTCAATAAGTGCAAATTCCATGAATTAAACTAAACAATGTTAGTTTTAAAAATGTCCTTTTTAAAATATTAGAGGAATATGACTTTCATATACAAATGTAAAATGTAACAATTTGAACTTTAACTTTATTTGAGTACAATTATAAAATAAGTGCAAGTATCAACTTAAATGTTGCATCAATATTAATTGGAAACTAAAATTAGCTAAGTGCATTCATGATGCAGGTATATATTCTGCTAAAAATGTTAATACCAATAAAAATAATTTTAAAATTATATTTAGATGTCACTTTTTCAGATTAACAATGATAAGGGCGACATCATATCACGGACATTTAAAGTTAACAGCTAATGTTAGGCAGTGTATGACATCTTCAGTGGCAGCTATAGCTAGCTATTCTTTAATCTTATAAAAGCATGTGTTACACAATGTGCTAGAAATGGTCTCTAGCCGTGTTGGAATATATTCTGGAACATGGTAGTCAATTAAATACGCTGCAAAATATGTGGTTTGTTTGGTTTTCGGTGCACAAATACAGTAGAGGTGTTAAGGCGCCAAAACAGCAAAAATGATTTAACCTACCTCAGGTGTTTGAAACACAAACAGGGTAAAACGCCAGGGTTCAAACTACTTCACTTGTTGGAGCTATGAGATGCAAAGACTACATTCATTCTTACTCATACGATCACGCAGAGATAATCGGTGACCGTTACCTTAACATATATGCCTAAAATATGAACAACAAGATGAACAAGAAAAGGCTGCGTTCAATGAATGCACCCATAAACCCCTTAAAAGCAACACCTCAGCAACGAGAGGCAAAAGTGCCACTAGATATCTTATGATCGAAGATCAAAAACATTTGTTTGATTATTTTTATATGTGGTTTCCAGCATATTTTACTTTAGATAAGGATTATATCTGAGAGTAACTGATGTACTTTTACTATGGGTAATATAACACCAAGTTATAGTACAACTCTTTTATTTGACAAAAATAAATGTTTGTTCTACATTCAAAAAAATGAAACTATAGAATGTCAGGACCAGATGAAGCAGATGTGCTCACTATATATAACAGTATACATGCACTAGGTCTGTTAATACGACATTTGTCGCCACATCAACGTTGTTTGTGCCGCGTAGAGGCTATAAAAAGTCGCCCCGTACATTCAATCAGGGATGTTATATTTCCGATCCTTAAAGATCGTTCTGAAAGGCATTATTGTTGTGCTTGTGGTATTTTAGTTCTTTTTATTCGGCATCTTTCTTGTTGGGTGGTTCCAGTATGCCTCAATTGAATACTGTTTGGAAATAAGTTTTTACGGCAATATATAAAATAATAAAACAGACAAAGTCCTTTTTTCGGTTGGCGATGTGTTCTTTCTTTCTGCATATAAAGTATCCAAATTATCGCAAAAAGCACTACTTTGTAAAGGGTCACAGTCAGAAAACTATCAGTCTGATTGTTTTGCCAGTGAGAAATCAGCTTAAAATTTTTATTATTCTGGATCTCTACAATGAGCAAATTATTCCAAATATCTCCAGCGTGTTAAACATACATACTCAGTTAATTCCTTCGAATTCATATACACAACTTGATGCCCGATCTCAAATATACAAAGCAGTAAAATATCAAAGGACTTAGTCGATATCTGTCCAGTTTGTTTGGGCAACAAGTCTTTAATTTCTTTTTTATACTGGCTATGTATTTAATATACATAATGAATGAAATACAAACATGTTTATTTTAGTTTTTCTTCAGTGCTCTGGGCAAAACTTGTACATGTAAAAGGATATACCGATTAATAACTTGTTTTACTACTAAAGATTCTAAAGTTATTGTTCATTGTAATATTCTGAAACAAACGTTGTTCTTGTAAGGTTTCGATATCCTTATTATAAACTAAATACATCACTTGTTTAAGGTTTCGATTTTTTGGCATAAGTTAACAAAGTTGCTCTTGTGTGGTTATTCTTGTTGTCACTAACTTATTAAGTTGCTCTAAAAATATAATGTTCTTGTCATAAACTAAGTTGCTCTTGCAAGGTTTCGATGTTCTTTTCATATAGTAATTACGTTGATCTCGACAAATTTAAATGTACTTGTGATTAACTAAGCTGCTCTGGGAAGGTCTTAAGGTCTTAACAAAGTTGTTTTTGCTAGATTTTGAGATCTTGTTACAAACTATTGGGTTATGATGTTGTTATCATAAACTAACAAAGTTGTTTGTCCAATTAAGGTTTCGACGTTCTTCGATTAAACTAATTAAGTAATACATAAGAAGCATCTTACTTGATTAGTATAATCGAAGAGCGTCGAAACCTTTATTTCCGTTGCGTGTTATACATAAATAGCTTTAACACGCAACGTAAATAATTCGAGCAATAATAATGTTTCGAATTATATGCTTGCGACCAGGACATTCGCAGGCACACTCTTATTTTCTGCAATTTAATCATAATTCAAAATGTGACTATCATTACAAAAGTCTGTATAAAATGACAAATCATGTTTGACCATATACATCTAAACAAAACAAAATGATGGAAATATTACAGTTTATATGTTTAGATGTATAGGATCACACACGAACTTTCATAACATTACAATACTTAATCATTAATTTTATTAACAAACTTATCACTACAAACATATATAAATTAAGATAAATGGTTTAAATTGTACCTATTTTCTGATTTTGCCCCGCTGGCTTTTATTCGGTTTTTCCTTGGCGAGATATCTACAGTTTACAAGTAATGGTATAAACAAATCTGACCTGTTTAAATCTACTGTACTCATGCATCTTACTTCAACAATAATATCTGGACAACTGAAAGATCTCTTTCATTAAGCCGATAAGTTTGTATAATTAAAATATTACATTGTTATACATAATATATCCAGTCGTGACTTTATCAGGGCTGGGAATCAGAACTGCGACGAAATCCTACAATTTTAAACAAACGCCACCATCTACAAATGAAGAAAGTATTTTTTGTTTATTACTCATATACGCTCTACAATTATTTTTTCTTTTTCATTTTGTAATGTTGCTAACATATTTGATTTAATATCTATTCAAAGAGAGTTGGGTATCATTGCACACATTTCATTGTGAAGAGATTCAATGGTTGCAATGAGCACTGATTTCTCTTAAGCTTTGTGTTTGTTTTAAATATTACATTAATTAAGTCACGACCTTATTACAATCACTTTATAGGGTCATCTTTGATGTATCTTAGATATAACAAAAGTGTTTTCAGCAATAACAAACTTTTTGCCTGCTTTGTGTCTTGTCGCCGGTAAGATAGTAAGAAAAACCCGCGAATAAATTAATCCCCATATCTGAAAGTGTTGGTAACGTTACGTAACATACGACACGTCTATGTAATGTTAGATAACCCAAATATATTTGACACTTTTTCTTTTGATATATTTCTATGTTTCAATTTATTCAAAATATTTTAATGACGAGATAAAAGTCTATTTTTTCGCGACAATAAAGGATTTACATGACACAAAAGCCATTTATTAGGTGGATAAATATTATGTTTTATTCATATCAGAAAAAAGCTTTACAATAGTTGGTTAATATATGAAAACAAAATACGATTTGATTATATTTACAAGCAAAAAGTAAAATATACTGGTAATGAAACACTTTAAAAATGATAAGAAGCAATCGTTTTAACTTTTATAATTTATAGACTACTTCTAATGGTTTTATATTCGCATGTCACTAAATCATTGAAATAATATTCCATACAAAATTGCATCCTTTTTCTTGCACATTGTCCGTGTTTTATTTTACAAAAGTATTAAAAGGTCGTGTTGTATGTTGTAACAATGTTTCTTCCCAGGGTAATTGATTTTACACAATACAACTTGAGTTATCAGTTTTCTCTTCATTTAGAACATGTAGAAGCATATATAGATAAAGAAACGCGTACAAGTAAAACGTTCGTAGAAGACCTCAGTAGAGTAGAAATCCGGAAAATGTACTCCAAAGATGGTGCACATACAATGGTACCGTTCCCCAAGGACCCTGCTTAGCTATGTTGACGATATCCCCAGCCTTTAGTTCAAGAACTGCCATATTGCTTCCCGAACCGAAAAATTTACTACCAGAGTACATCAGCATCCTGTCTTTCCCATTAACCTTGAGGCAGGTTTCAATAAACTTTCCATGTCCTGATAGGATATTCGAATGGAAAACGTATGTTCCAGCAATAGGCACTTTAAATTCGCCAGTTGAAGGATTATATGCTTCGCCACTGTTTGTTTCCACGAGAGAAAATACGATCGTGTCTTCGGCCGCAATTTTAGTAATGGATGGCGAAACTCTTGCATAAAAAGCCACTCGTTTTTTCTTCGAAACCCGTCTCTCTTCCGGGGAAATGCTTCTTTCCCCCTCAACACCAATCTGTGCCTTTAGACTTTGTACTTCACTCCTAAGTGATTGAAGTGTACTGAAAATGTCCTCGGCAAGTTCATTTTCGGTATTAGAAACTTCAGCACAGTCTCCCTTTTGTATTTCTGTGAACGATATCATTAGACAAAAGCCTATAAACGAAAGTTGGAATGCAAATGGTATTTTCGAATCCATAGTATCTGCAAAATAATGTTCGTAAATTTTGTTTCAAATTTAGCAACCTCTTTCCTTTACTATCCTAGCTTAACTGAAATTTGATGATCACCCGAAACCTGCTTTTAAAGCTTCGCTGCCTTTTATCATTCAAGTGGAAGAAATAAATCAGGCTGTTTGTATTTATATTTTGTTTTGCATCCTTAAGGCAAGACAAAAACATTTTGAAAATCAAAAAGAGAAAATAACGCCAATGTTGGATAGAATAACGACATTTTCGGAGAATTCGTCATTATGATAATATATCAGTTCCAAAGTCATACAGGTGATTGGTTGTAATACAATCGCTTAAAAACGAGCGTCTTAACAATGAGACATTTTGGTCTGCGGCGAACAATTTTCTTTCTGATTTTGTTATTTTATGATTACATATTAATTTATCAGTAAATTAAAGGTTTTAGTGTAGTTTTAGTTTTGTTGAAGGCAACCAATTCATTTTGGTCCGGATTAAAGTTAGATAGGCATACAATACAATATAAATTTTGATTGATCAGTGAACGTGTTTTCTTTATTATTATTTAAATATTTATTTTTTGTGTTTTTTGTTGTTTGTTTTTTTTTTTTTCTTAATTCAACTTCATCAGCTAGAACAGGCTTTAACATCTTACATAAGAACAATAAGATAGTTATATAGACAAGATATGCAATGGATTCCAGTTTATAGCACATACGGATTTGCTTAATAGTAACTATTTGTTAAGTGTGTTCATTTTGAACGGGGTACGATATTAGACAATCGATAGGACATAGACATTGAAAATTTATTACATTTTTGCAGGATATTTGACAGGACTTACAGCAGGACATTGTTATATTTACCAATATTGCCTCTGATGCAAAACATTTGGCAGGACATTCCGCAGGACATTGAAACTTTTCCGAAACCCCTGCTATCGCGACATAAAAAGCCTTATTAGGAGTTTTGACTCCTACGTAGGAACAAGATACTTAACCCCCCCCCCATCCCCCCAAAAAAAATCCGCCGAATTTTGAAATAGAACACTTCAATTTTCAAAACAGTGTCTCATGTTTCTAAAAGGCTTTAAAGATCATTACATTTTCAATACAAACTAGCTGAACAAAACGAGCAATTATCCATTGTCGGCCGTTTCGCATGATTAAAACCTTATAGGAGAAGGCAAAGGGGGTGAAGTGTCTTATTCAAACTCCGGAAACTTGCTATTTGCGAAGCATTATGCATGCATAAGTTTAAATGTTACAGTGTGTCATTTGTAAAGATAAGACTGACCTGAACTTAGTGGCCTCATCCCTTATAATCATTAAAATTTAATGACAACTAAATCTAATAAACACTTAATATCTTTTTGTGAGAGATCAAAATTAATCAGTTTCATTGGCTAACAAACAAATAACAGTGTTCTGTATGCATCATATTACATGTATATAATTTATATCTGACCAGTTGGTATTTACAATATTATCATTGTTCTATTTTTAGAACATAAACTTTATGTATGTACTAGAACCTTCTTAACGGTTGTAGAAAACTCATGCATTATATTTAGATAGAAATTTCCGGAATGATCTTTATTGTTGAAGTTGCTAGATTATGATTACTGTAGAAAATGGAAGATTATTCTGGAAACTTCTTAGCTTAATATATATAGGAGACATTTTTCTTTCGTATTATCCTTTGAAGTCATCAGTTACCTTTTAAGTTATCAATATATTTGGAGTATTATCAAGTGATTTATTGGAGCTTGGATTATTTTAAAATAGTTAAAATTATTCTTGTGGATTTTATTGTGGGAATTTATTCTAAAGTGTTCTTGGATTTTACTTGGATTTAACTGTGCTATTCAAAAGGGGATGTTTCCAGGATCAGACTAGACATTTAAGATTTCATTTTTATTTGGACTTCAGGTATTTGTAAACATAAATTGTTATTCATTTTTTCTTTAATATTTTTTTCTGTAATAAATTTGTTATTGATACAAGTTTGTTGCTGGCTTTTCTTTCTCGTTACGCCTGGCTCGTTACAACACCTCATGTTTTCTCGGTTTCGGATGGGTAACAAGAGGGCCATGATAGCCATTGATCGCTCACCTGACCCATCGAACTCATCTGAACAATCACCTAGACACTCATTCTGACCCAGTTTCATAACAGGTGAGTCAAAAATGAGACCACTAGAGTGTTAACAAGAATTATCCATATTTGAGCAGTATGACTTATTTTTAACCAGGTGACCCATATTCAAACTTGACCTAAAAATCACCAAACCAAACTTTCAGACACCTTTCAATGATACTTTCATCAAAACAGTCGCCACTAGAATGTTAACAAAATTTTCTATTTTTAGATATGGTGACCTAGTTTTGATCTGAGATGGCCCATGTTCAAACTCATCCGAGCAATTACCTAGACAAGCTTCCTGACCAAGTTTGATGAAAAATGAGTCAAAAATGTGACCACTAGAATGTTAAGAAAGTTTTTCCATATTTGGGCAGTGTGATCTAGTTTTTGACCACAGGTGACCCATATTCATACTTGACCAAGAAATTATCAAAACAAACTTTCAGACCAATTTACATGATATTTGAATCAAACAGTAGCCACAAGAGTGTTAACAATAATTTTCTATTTTTTAGCTCCTGTGACCAAGTTTTCATCCCAGATGACCCATGTTCGAACTAATCCGAGCAATTACCTAGACAAGCATCCTGACCAAGTTTGATATGACACTTAAGTCAAAAATGTGACCCCTACAGTGTTAACAAGGTTTTTCTTTTTTTAGCTCCTGTGACTTAGTTTTTCATCCGAGATGACCCATGTTCGAACTCATCCGGACTATCACCTAAACAAGCATCCTGACCTAGTAAGATGACGATTGAGGAAAAAATGTGACCGCTTGAGTGTTAACAAGGTTTTTTCTATTTTTAGCTCCAGTGACCTAGTTTTTCATCCGAGATAACCCATGTTCAAACTCATCCGAGCAATTATCTAGTCAATTATTCTGACCAAGTTTGATGATGATTGAGGTAAACGTTTAGCCACTAGAGTGTTAAAAAGGTTATTATATTTCTAAGCTCCTGTGACCTAGTTTTTCCTCCGAGATAACCCATGTTTAAACTCATCCACGCTATCACTTAGACAAGCAACCTGACCGAGTTTGACGATAATTGAGGAACGGAATGTGACCGCTAGAGTGTTTACAATATCTTTCTATTTTTAGCTTCGCTGACCTAGTTTTTCATCCGAGATGGCCCAAGTTCAACTTCATCTAAGCTATTACCTAGACAAGTATCCTGTTCTAGTTTGAAAATGATTGATGCAAAAATTAAACCACTAGAGTGTTAACAAAGTTTTTCTATTTTTAGTTTCGGTGACCTACTTTTAATCCGAGATGACCCATGTTCAAATTCATCCGAGCTATCGACAAGATAAACATTCTGACCAAGTTTGACGATAATTGAGGCAAAATGTGACTGCTAGAGTGTTAATAAGTTTTTTTTCTATTTTTAGCTCCAGTGACCTAGTTTTTCATCCACGGTTTTTTCTCTTTTTAGCTTCGGTGACCTAGTTTTTCATCCGAAATGACCCATGTTCCAACTCATTCGAGCTTTCAACTAGATAAGCATCCTGACAAAGTTTGATGTATGATGATTGAGGCAAAAATAAGAATGCTAGAGTGTTTACGAACAAGTGTGGCCGGACATTCGACCATCCTTAAAGCTCACCCTGAGCAAACTCAGGTGAGCTTAAAAGGTATCACTAAGCTCAGGAGAAGGATAGTCTTCAGTCTTCCTTGTGTGCATTTTTTTGTTAACAAAATCAAATTGTTTTCAAATTTTCTAAGAAAAATAGCTTTTCTGATGTACAACATGTCACAGAGCTTTAAAGGATTAAAATAAACGTTTAACTTACGTGATAGTGTCATGTTTGAATATCATATTCTTTTATAATTATCTTATTTTTTTATCTACGTGCCAATGAGCTAGTCTGTATAGTCGATCGTTCTAAAATCCGTAATCTAATGACGGACAGGGAACAAGGAACAAGAGGTATCACTAAAATATGAAACGGAGATTATCTTGGTGCTAAGGACACAGCGAAAATATTTTTTTGCAAAACAGGCAAAACGTGTGTGGCATGTTATTCATTTTCATAATTTACATTTAAGTTACAAAAAGGATTAAATGAGTGAAAACGTTCGCTTATTTTAAAACTGCAATAGGTTTTTTTTTTGAAGGATTATGTTACCGACGACTGTTCTATTTGCCTAGATTTTTTATAACATTTTGTGGTCCAATGCCTAGATTCCCTGTGAATATGCAACTTTTGTTTATTCAAGTAATTTAATCTTTTATAAACAAGTGAACAATACGTTAGAAAGAATTGATTATATATATCAATTTATTCATAACTATTATTTGAAATTACAGACATAGTTTCGCTATATGTAAAATAGAAGACAGTTCGTCTTCAAAATCATTCGAACATTATGCAATTCGCACCAATATTAAAATGGACATATTTTCGGCACATATTGTCTTGAATTTATTTTAAGTTTACCAATAATTTCAATATCACTTGTTATCCAATTTATTTTGCTTCGACCAGACGTTTCAATGTTTTTCGCAACAGACAAACATTTCAGAATTTCAGACATATACCAAGAACATGGAGAAAAACATTATTTTCTTACATTATATCACAAGTTATGCTCTAGCATACATGTTCGTTGCACTCGGTGCTTTCAGCACTTTGATATGTATCATACGTAGGAGTTATCATAAACTCCTAATAAGGCTTGTTTATCTCCTACGTAGAAGTTATCTTTGTTTTTTTATAGAACATGTTTAATTGGCACCAGGACGTTTACGTAGGCAATTCATATTTTTTTGTTAACCTGCACACCCTATATACAAATATACCAGGATCTTAATTTTTACACTATCTGTCACTGTCAAACCTTCTTTTTATTCTAAGGTAATTTG